GAGAGAGAGAGAGAGAGAGAGGGAGAGAGAGAGAGAGAGAGAGAGAGTTTTAAATTTCAACACTTAAAATTTACCTTACTTATTTATTATAAAACGTATAGTAAATCAAATTACCATGTATATTTTAATGAGTATTACAATCAATAAAGAGAAACTTTTAATTTTGTATTTAAGTTACATTCTTTATAAATGAAACCGTTTATTAATACACAATACAATAACTATATTTATTGATGATATTAAAATATCAAGTATTTTATTCTAGATAAATAATACCTTCATTATTACAAAACTACAGTTTTATTAAAAATATTTAATTTTAAAATATTACATATAAGACTACTTTAAGTGTTTTGTTTAAGAAAATATTAATTTATAAATACAGTATTACATTATTTTAGTTATCTTTTTATTCACTTTTGTATAATAATATTTACAGCTATTACAAGCAATAGTATGTAAATTAGCTATAAATACAGTGCTTGTCGTTAAACATTAAAAAATGGAAGAAACTTTCTGATATACTATAAGAAGTAAAGTGTTATTTAAAACAAGTTTCTGAATAATACTTTGTAATGATTGTGGTAAATAACTCATTGGAAATGTAGTTAAAAAATCGACAATTCCTCCGCATTTATAGTTATTTTGGGGCTCTTTTAAAATAATAGCTTTTATCATACAATCAGTCACTTCTTTAATCTGTTTTCTCGACACTTCTACTAAACTTTTGGATCGTCTTTCATAACCCCTCCGATACTTATCGCTGTAAACACTCTTAACCTCTTCAGAGCTCTGGTCCCACACTTTGTCTAAAGTATTCTTCATGAGTGACCAATTGATGATATGTGTGCGATAGAGCACCGGCTCTATTGTAATCACATTAATATTGAAATATTCCACTTCATTGCGAAGTCCGTCGGAAAAAGATCTGATGGCGTGTTTGGACATCGAGTAATACGACAGACCATTGAGTGTCAGTCGCCCTAAACATACATTTCTATGTTATATTTTATAATAAATTATTAAAAAACAGTTCAAATGAGTGCTGACCGGCGAGACTCGAGACATTGATGATTCTTCCCTTCGATATTCTCAACAGTGGCAGCGATTGTTTAGCAACTCTTACGGCACCGAAAACATTGACGTCAAAAGTATGGCTCAATTCGCGGATATCGTGTCCCCATTCAATGGGAGCGTTGATAGCGATGCCGGCGTTGTTGACAACTGCCCACAGTTCAAGTCCAGAGCATTTGATTTGATTGAAAACATTTGCCACTTCTTCGCAGTCCGTGACATTCATTTTGAGTACTCGAACTTTTTGGGAACAAACGGTTTTCAACTCTTGGGCGCCGTTTTGGTCGGGATTTAGAGCGCCGGCGAACACATGAAACCCCAATCGATCGCATTCTATGGCCAATTGATGGCCAAATCCTGTATCACATCCAGTGATAAGAACGGCCCGATTGGCTGTCGAAACTGTTTCTGTCAATAATTGCTTATTAATTGTATTCGATATAAAGTAAGAGATTATCACCGATACTATTGATATACAAAATAATGTATAAAATGGTAATAAGTTTGAAAAAGTTATCAAAATAAAACTGATTAATAAAAAGCTTGAAATTAATATAAAATTATTGGCAGACATTTCATATAAAGTATTTATTGTTACGTTTGATTCAAGTCTTGTATTATATTTTTTGTGATTTATTATTTAAATCTTATATATTTTCACATATAAGGAAAAATGTTTGCATCTTATTTGAAGTGCAAATTGAGATTCAAGGATATGAAATGCAAACATTGGATAAATTAAAAATATAATTTTTACCTATTTAGTAAACATTATTTTTTATATTAATTATATTCAATTTTAAGTAATTTTCAAACATGTCATCACTAATTGACGTGATATTAATATAATAGGTGTTATTTCGTGCACAAACTATAAATTCAACTTTATACAGTATTGAAAAATTCAATGACTATAGCTATTGTTCTTTTTACATTTTAATATTATTTTTCCAATTTTATATTAAAAATCGAGGCTTATTTTGTGCATATTTACACTCTATTTGAAATGTTACTAGAAATAATTTTAAAATTGTAATAGGTTAGATTCTTTATATATATTTTTGAAACATAATTGCATGATTTAGGAAATAATAAATAGGTTATTATTGTTTGCATTTATAGAAATCAAGCGCTGTTTTCCACATCTTTCCGGTGAGGAAGAAGTCTTGAGCCGATTCTGGCAAAAGGCTTAAGAACCAAAGCGAGGGCTTCTCTGAAATGGCAGCACATCTATAGTAGAGGTCGGGTTCGCAAAGAGTGATGGCCTTCTCCTGAACGTCAAGCACTTCGTGCACTTCAGGTCTGGATATCTCCACATTATATCTCAATCTCCGTTTCAATTGCTCGTAAAACGTGTGGCCGCCGTAGTCTTCCCGTATTTGGGCAGACGTTTGAAGCCAAACACTTTCAATAGTCTTATTGAGTAGATCTAAGTTAACGATTTCTGTTTTGTACATATTTGGCTCAATTGTCACCACTTTTACTCCAAAACTCATCAACTCTTTGCGGAGTCCATCAGAGAAGGCTCTGACCGCGTATTTCGACATACAATACGCTGTTATTCCCCAAAATGTAAAACGACCTAAAAATTTGATTTAATTATAATAAACAATTATAACAAAGATAATAATCAAGATGGAAATAGTAATACAATATATAATTTATAAACAGGCAAATCGTAAATTTGTACTTTAAACACTTATTAAATATAGTGTATGATTACCGGCAACACTGGCCATATTGACAACCCGTCCACCAGAGCGTCGTAAGAGCGGCAGACAGTGTTTAGTGACGCGAACCAAACCAAACACATTGACGGCAAAAGTCTTCTCAAAGATGTCAATTCCGGGTCCCATCTCTACCAACGCGTACTGAGCGATACCGGCGTTGTTGAGCACTGCCCACAAGTCCAGACCCGATAACTCAATCTCTTTGACCGCGAGCTTCACGTCCTCGTCGAGAGTGACGTCCAGTTTAATGACTTTCAAACGATTTGAACATTTTGTGCGAAGTTTTTCGGCACTTTCACTATCAGTGGACAAAACGCCCGCAAAGACATGAAAGCCATACGAATCCAATTGATAGCACACGTTATGCCCAAAACCAGAATCACATCCAGTGATCAGAACGGCACGATTTTTGGGAGAAATGTACTCCAGTTGTGAATATTTTCGCAATATATGAGCCAAAAACCATGAGATTTGTATCAATATAGTTATGACACCAAAGAATTTACAGAAAATTGTGAATATATTTAGTAACGAAGAGTCGATTAAATTCATATACAATAGACTTAAGATTATAAATACGATGACAAATGTCTTGTATAAAGTAATTTGTCCAACATTTGCCATTTTAATACAATTGTATGGATTAACGATTATTTGATCACAAAGTAATTTGTATTTTAAACAACATTTAAATTAAAGATCTATCGCCTAAACACTTGAGAAATGAAATGGATTAAAAATTAGTTTTGTTTGAGCCCTACATTCAAATGCAATTGACTTTCACTTTAAGATTGGATTTAGTTTTTAAAAATAATGTTTTCTTAAATGATTGCTACCTTTTTTCCTGGATTAGACTATTTTTAATACACATCTAAACGAGTTCTCCGACCAAATGATACACAAAATACAGTTAAGCGTTAAACATATGAAACTGGTGTGAGATTTATTTGGGTTCAAAAAACTGTTACAACTTTTTTTCATTGATTGATACTATTTTTGAAGAATCGGAAACCTATTGGCAATTGGGGTCACACTCTATACACAGACCACAAACTCGTTGGAACTAACCATTAGATCCTTTGATCAATACATACGGATCTATCGATAAACAGTGAATTGGATTTTCAAAAACAATTGTTTAAAAATAGTTTATTACAGAAATGTATTGTATTGTTGTTATGGTTAATAAAATCTGGAATTACCGTATAGTTTGAAATCACTTTATTTTAAACATTTAATTAAGATATGATTTATTATAATGTGTTTATAGATTGTTAGAAATATAGTAAATCTACTTTTTTGTGAATTAAATATAAACAGACATTTTATTTTACGTTAGAAACTTTAGCCCAAATATATTTATCTACTGAAATAGTCGCGATTATCGTTGAATAAATGCATACATCATTCAAATACAAAATAATTTTTATATTTACAGTTATAAGTTAAATAAATATAATGTAAAAACATATTTTGTTGATTTTTATTTGTTATAAATAATGCATTTAATAAATATAAATGCTTTTAATTTATTTAAAAATACAGTGCAACCTCTTTTGGGGAAACATCTCCTCATGAGAAACGGTTTTAAAATATTTATTGGATTTCATATACTTATAAATTAAAGTTATAAGGTTTATGGAAATTTAGGCGTTGGAAACATTCGATATAATTTATAACTTTTATTAATTTTTTTGTAAAACCAATAATTGATTATACAATTTACTGTTATCATTGAATTCCATTAACACAGAATTAATAATGCTTTAGCCATAAAATTATCTTAAATTTTGTATTTTGTTAGTCACTAAGAAAATAGACGTTGAATTATATTGAATATTGAATTATGTTTATTCTAATTTTATGGTTAATCTTATGATATTATTGTTCAGCTATAATTATGTTATGTAAGGCCTTATAACACAAGTATATAAATGCCGTAATTATAGGCACACATTAACTAAATGTCAAAATTGGGTA